TGCATTTTTATATTTTACCTTTCCTTTTCTTCCCTAGTGAACTCCCAAACATAGTATAACTAGGGTATTTAAGTGAGGTCATTTATAAACTAAGAGTATTTATATGTAACATGGGTAAACAAGAGGACAAACGTGCAATATTTTGAAACTTTAGAATATTTATCTATAATACTTAAATACTTTAGGGGTAATTTGTTTTACTTAGTTTTAAAATAAGGATCACTTAAGTACAAGGTTAATCTAACTTTATAGCATTTTAGTGTAATTTACCCTTATTATGCTAGTAACAACGCATAATGAGTGAAAAAAATGCATAATCTATATCTATATGTATAATCTATAATCTATAATAATAATAATAATAATAATAACAATAATACTTATAAAATAGAATATCCATGTTAAAACTTGTGAATGTCTATTTTACACCTTTTAAATTTCTTAATTCCTAATTAGACTATTCCCCAATTTATTTAATATTTTATAAAAATTAATTGTTTATTATTAAAAAATTTAAAAGTTATTACTTAAAGAAAATCAATACTTATGACCTCTCTTTATATACGCTCTTTCTCTCTCACACGCATTTAAATTTGCTCTTTCTATATATATATATAAAAGAACAACCAACTCTATGTCACATCTTGCATTAAAAGCCGCACAACCCCTACCATACCCCCCCCCCTAACAAAAAAAACAAAAAAAAAACGATTCCCATACCCCCCCCCCTAACAAAAAAAACAAAAAAAAAACGATTCCCTCGCCACTCTCATGTTCTAACTTCTCTGGAATCTCTCAACTCATTACTAGGTCAATAGAATTGCTACTAATTTTTAGATTTTTTTTTTTAGTTCAACACCTTTCCTAACTAAAAGTCTAAAATTTAAAGGTGTTTAGTGTTCTTATAAATTGATTATGAGTTGGCGCTTAATGAAACGAAGGAAGTGCATTTCTTGATTGTAAGAATTGAATTGATTCTTTTATTTTTTTATCCTTATTCTTATTATTTCTTATTTCTTATATAGTTCTTTTAATATATTTTTCCTGTTTACGGGAAATGTTTAAAGAAGAAATGAGAATAAACAAATTTGTATTAATCTCCCTAACTGATGTAGGCTGTCTAAAAATCACAATGGATAGCTGATCCAAACAAGTCCTGACAATAGGAGTTACAATC